GCTCATCCTAAATGACTAAGAGCCTCAAGCCAATAGGCTTGTATATTTTTAGCAGATTCTCCTGTTAAGACAGATGCATGTAGCATACCATTGTAAGTATCAACAGGAATATGCACATATTGGGCTTTTCCAGAGGGAGCATAATGAGTGACATTTGTTTTCCCAATTATTTGAGAATTTAGTCCTTGAGGATTTGCTCTCATAGATGGGGCTGCCTTGCTAAGTGATTGGCAATTAGGACATTCTTTAATAATTGGCTTAACTTGGAAAGACAGGCCCCCCTGCTGTTTCTGCAAGGTGCAATGGATTTAAACAGCAAGTGAATTGTCCTGTTGTTCTCAGGACCTGGTAGCTCCTAGGTTCAGAGTTTTCAATGAAATTGAAAAAGATGGGGTGGGGGTGTTCTGCTTAAATATGTTTTAGACAAAAATGGTTATGTGCCAAGGGACTTTTGTGACTCGATGGACTAACCATTCCCTCTGGGAGAATAGCCAGTTCTTCCCCAAGGAGACTATCAGTGTTTATAGGTACTGAGTTAAAAAAAATAGTTGTCTTCCATGGAGAAAGACTAGTTCTCCCCAAGAGACAGTACAGCTAGATTTCATTTCTACAATAAAGAGTCATGGCTCTGGCATAAGCAAGCAGGATTCTTAAAATTTTTTAACATGTTACACCCCCTATCCCACTTATAGCATGCTTTAGACTGACAAATTTATGAACACATTCGTAATCTTCAGAAACAGTTTTTTCTCCAATGGCAATACATTTACTCTTTCTTGTTGATTCTTGTGATTACTGCATTCCTTGAGTGTGCTCAAAAGTGAACTGTCTCATTATCCAGTGCCCTTGACAACTTTAGGGAGGCTGGAGAAAAGGGAGAAAGAATGCTAAGCCTTCACACAGCTTGTTCTCATGACCAAAGCAGTTTCTGGACTTCCATAAGGAAGATTCAGAGTGGTTAAATGTGGGACTTTTTCCACAAGTCCCCCTGTCCACCACGGATGAAGGTAAACACTTCCGAGACATGATCTGCTTGGAGAGGAGAGGTGGATCATTCCTCAAAAGGGAAGGGCCTTGAGCCCCTTTCTCCAGAACCTTCTATTGGTTTGTAATATACAGGAATATAGGGTGGCAAGAATCAAACAGTAGATAACATTTCAAAGAAATCTGAAAGCTTAGTCTGAGTCAGAGTCTGTCAGGGAGAGAGTTCTGAAGAAACATTTAGGGTTTCCTGCTTGGACCCTTAATGTATGAATGAGAGAAAGCACCCTTTGCAGAACTAGTTTCTCAGGGTTTTCAGGAATTCTTTGTGATGCCAGATCCCCACCCCCCACGCCGGGATCTGCTCTGGCAAGAGAAGAGGCTGCACCCCTCCCCATCAGGTATTCAGGCTTAAGAGGATTAGACCCAGGAAGTGCTTCTCCCAGGGGACCTGGGGACTCAGGCTATGCCACATAGCCTAGGGGCACTGGTCTATTTCCCACTGTTTGCTGCAGCCCCCACCTCCAGTCCATTTATAATGGCCACCCAAGTTATCATGTCTGGCTTAGTTTTCTCCCCAGTGTGAGGAGACTTACCCGTCATGTACTTCTGACCATGCTTTGGGGGCAGGGAGGAAACTGAGACAGCATTTACTACCAGACACAAGCTTTGTCTCCTGAGGCTCATATTCCAGATGTCATTCGCTCATCCTTAGGAACAGGAAATAGAGTTACAATTTCTGAAACCAGGCAGATGTTTCCACAACAAATTGGAACTGAACAATGTAAGCCTGTCACTCTGTGTGACACTTGTAGTCACATTATATTTCTTAAAAATGAAATACTTTTTTTCACCTTTAGAGGAGGCCACCACCTCTTTGGAAACATCCTGGGGTCAGGCTTGTACTTCTCAAACATTCAGGAGGAATAAAAGGATCCTCCTAACAGTAACAGGCTGGAATGCATATTATTCCTCCAAAACAAAAGCCCTCCACAGGCCCACCTTGTGGGTTATGTCTCACCACCCAAGGCCTGTGTTATTCCTGTTCTCACAGGTGCCTGAACTGACAGAAACTCAGGATTCTCAACCCCTGGAAGAGTTATTTCCTGGAAGAGAGAACATACACTGACCTTATTAGAATCAGGGAAGAATTTTTATTCCCCAAATTCCTGTTTGTGAGGCACCTGCCTGTTGTTTCTGAAGACATCTGACCAGGTCATGATGTCCTGGGGAACAAGGGAAATCTCCTGTGAAGAATGGGGCAGGAGAACCCAGAATCTTCAGTTGCTTCCATCTCAGAGGGACTGAAGGTTCTACAAAAAACTCTCTTATTCTAATAAAACAATACACTGGGCCCGGGTTGAGTATTCACATGGAGATGCTCCAGATTCTAGGCCCTGTGGGCATATGGAGACATAGACTGACTCATATGCATCATCTCAATGTAGTGATGGAAGATACCCTGGACATTTTTGGGATCAAACCTCATGACCAGCACCCTGTCCAAACCTCAGGGTAACTTTCACTAGGCCCTTCCTTTGAACATTTGAAACCAGAGAGCTCTTGTCTGAAATGGCACTTTCCCCTGGTGGGACAGTTCTCATGACCCTGGACTCACAGTGCTCTCAGTAATGCCTGCCTTTTCACTGGGCTCACCCTGCACTGATCAGGGTCCCTGTAAAGCCTCTGACATTAGCTGAAGTTCTACTTCTGTCCTCTAGGGGACAACATTGAGACACACAGAAAAAAGACAGGAACCTGGCTTTGGCTAAGAAGATGGAAGAGGCTGATATTCATCCCCTGCGTCATCAGGCTTTCCTTGGGCCCACCCTGCTGACTTCTCTGTGCCACCTGCTACTTCTAGAAACTGTTACCAAAAAAGGAGCTGTGCAGCAACCTGTCAAGCTCAGTGGGCCATGTGGAAGGCCTGACAAGCATCACAGGATAGTCTGTTCAGAAATTTCTAGGTGGGCAGGTAATGACAGGTTGTCACATCCAAGGCATATGTTTTCCTTAGGAAATGTAAGTCTTTAGCTTGAGTGAGCTCTGATCTTTTTTTGGGGGGTCAGGGGGTCCATCTTGGAGAAGATAACTTTGGGACATTAGAGTGATTTCCTTTGGACTAAGTGCATGAGACCACAGACTGTTAATGTTATCTGGTGCCCTGTACCTCCTCTGTGTCTTGTAAAAGTTCATTTTATTGTACTCATCAATGTAAAAGATATATTTCTCCCTTTTGTGTTTTTTTTTCAATTCTGGAGATTTCCCTTCTATGTTATCTCTCACCTCCTAATGAATTCTATGCAAGGTTTTCACTTTGTACTTTGATTATAATGTACAAAATGAGCTGCAAAGGCATCTTTCTTCAAAGGATTTGAGTTCTTTCTGCAAGGCACGTGAGGTCAGTTTTACTCCGATAAATTCACTATATTGCTTCAAGCTTTTGACGTTTCTTAATTTGACAGGTCCTGGGAGCACCTTGTTCCTCAGAGGTTTCTGTGTTGCTCTGTATCCTGGCATCATCCATGGCAAGGTGAGTTGGCCACCAGAAAGCCTCTGAGGCAGAAATCAGAAATTGTTCCAACAGTCAGCAACAGCTCAAGGACAGGTCAAACAAATAGACATGGAGAGAAATGGTCTATCTGAAATTGCCCTGTGAGGAACAGTAAGCTCAGAGGCGCCTGACTTTTCACTACAGTCTCTTCTTTCTGGGACACTCAGGACATCCCCCACTTCACACCCAAAACTGCATGTCCTGCTGAGAAATCTGCTCTTGAGTCTTTCTCCCTGGAAGCAACATTCAGTCTGCTGACAGCCTGAGATAGAAGACAGGCCTCCTATACCATTATCTCCATGCTTGACCTCTTCTCATTCTCAAATTCATATCTGTGACATTCCCGCTTGGAGGTAACAAAACCCACACAGAGCAATTAAGAACATGAAGAAGAGGATTCCAGCTGGGTTTCTTTGTTACAAGCAAAAATAATCCTCAGTTTTGATGACATCTGGGTATGTTTCTGAGGTGAAGACAGACCCAAGACCAAGTCACCACACAGGCCAATGGGGGATTAAGTGGCTCATCCTTTCAGATCAGCCTTGCTATAGCAAGTGTACCCTACAGGGCAGTAAGAGCAACCTTCCCTGAGAGCTTATTAGATGTAGAGTCTCTGATCCACTGCACCCCTGCCATTTCAGAATTTGCAGTTTAACAAAAACCTGGAGTCTTCCCCTGTCCACAGAAGAGCAGGAGAAAGTGGTTCTATCTTTGTGTCAAGAGATCCCATGTTGCATTGGCACCCACAGTAGTGGGGACAGCTGCTGAAGTTACATGTTTAATGTTTCACCTGGGCTTTGTGATATTTCCAAAGTTTCACAGGTGATCTGATGTGTGGTAGCAGTGGCAGTGGTGACATATCTGTGGTAGGTTTCTCTTCTTTCAATAAATATTTTATTTATTACTGTTAGAGGAAGAGGAAGAGAGAGAGAGAGAAGAAGAGGAAAACATCAATATGTGGTTGCCTCTCATATGGCCCCCCAGGGGCCTAAGCGTATGCCCTCACTGGGAATTGAACTGGCAACACTTTCATTCACAACCTGAGCTCAATACACTGAGCTACACCAGCCATGGTGACATTTTTTTCTGTCTTAGCTCGAGAACTGCTGCTCTGAAGGGAAAATTCAAATGTGATAGAAAGAAACTGTGGGAAAGGTCAATGTGCCCCTGACAGGTAGCTGTGGAGAATGCCCAAAATCCTGACAACACTGGCTTCTGCTTTCCAACTGCAGCATGAGAGTGAATGATAGTGAGTGTTTATAGGCCTGTGTATATGTGTGATATTGAGAGATCTCAGGAGTTCCCAGGGAACCCAATTATAGAAAGGCAGTACTGGTTAGAAGTGATAAGGGATGCAGAATGAGGGCATAGAGTGGGAGGTTCCTGCACACACACCCTGCCCCCAGCTCACATGACAAGAATAGTAAACATGCCCCACAATAAAGCTCAGTGTACAGGTAGGACACAGTGCACTGCACCATTCTGGATAAAGGTGCCTATGAACCTCAATGAATCTCAGTTTTTTTCTCAAAGACACGGTTATGGGGGAGACAGCAGACACCATGGGGCCCCTGTCAGTCTCTACCCACACAAGACTTGTCCACTGGCAAAAGCTCCTGGTGGCTGGTAAGTAGGAGACAATTTCTTGGGGTACACTAAGAATTTGACACACAGACTGGCTGGGATTTGCTGAAGAGACCAGTGTTCTGAAAAAAGAGGAAAGGCTTCTATTTGGAAGTGAGGGTGAGGGACAAAGGAGCAGAGTAGGATGAGGAAGGGGCTCAGTGAGAGAAAAATCTCATAAGCTGGAAGTGCTGAGAGGCAGGAAAACCACAATTGCTATTTATTTGCTATTATTTGTCATTGACTATTGAATTATAAAAACAGATTAATAATAATAATAATAATAATAATAATAATAATAATAATAATAGTTTATGTCATGAAACACTGGAAAAAAAACGTTTCCAGGAGTGCTGGACATGGTCTTTACCACCAACCTCAGAAATGGTTGCATGCATCCTGGAAGGGATAAGCCTGGAATTTCTCATTCACTCAACTTCAAGTACTTGCAGCCTGCTGAAGTTACTGGAGGTCCAAGATCAAATGAGGCCCTGCTTTCATTGACCCCATGTTCTATGGAGGAAAGAGGGAAAATGAAGGATCTAGATGTGATACCAGTTACTACAAGAGCCATCTAAAATGCAGAGCAGGGTCTGATCTAAAAGTGGAGACAGAGGATCTTTAGAGAAGGTAGTCAGGAAAGGTGTTTTCAAAGATGCCCTGAGTGTCAGAAAGAGTCTGAGCACAGTGAGGGGGGAAACAGGAAAACACCTGGAAATGAGTATCTGAAACAGATAACAGTTTCAGAGGCGCTCAAGTAATGGGGGTCATGCTGTTGACCTTGACCATGGGACACACACACACACACACACACACACACACACACACACACAGGCTGGGAGATAAAGAGACCTGCTCAGGATTCAGGGCCTCGTCTTTTCTTCACAACACTTGCATACAAACATAGATTTTTTTCTTATTTTCTAGCCTCACTCTTCAACTTCTGGTGCCAGCCCACTACAGCTCAACTTGCTATTGTGTCTACCTATGCTGCTGAAGGGAAAGACGTGATTCTACGTATCCACAATAAGCCTCCTAATCATGCAAGTCTCCTGTGGTACAAGGGTGAAGGTGCAAACAAAAATAATATAATAGCATTTCTTTCAGAAAAGCCAAGAATGCATTTATTAGATCCTGCATTTGGAAGAGTAGTATTAAAACAAGATGGGTCCCTGCTGATAAAGAAGGTCACCAAAGCTGATGCAGGAAAGTACACTATATTAGTCTACCTTACAAATTCAAGAAAAGAAATAGGATTTGGAAGGCTTACTGTATATGGTGAGTGATTGCTCTCTGACCTGCTGGTGTTGGGTGGGGTGATTTCTGCTTCATACACGGGACTGATAATCCTGCCTGCATCCCCTTCTGTATTTTGTTTCAGGTAGGCATTTGACCTTTAATGTAGGAATACACAGAGTGTAGACAAGCTTTCTTATATCTCAGTCACCTTCCCAAATTCCAGCCGTGTAGACATTCGAAGCAGACAACGGTATTACTAAGATGGAAGTAACTCAGAAGAATGAGACTTGTCTTAATTAAGCATCCTGAGCACGTGCCTAAGAACTTGACCCTGAGAATGACCCTGATGTACTAGTCAGAGTATGGTCTGACAGGCCACCTGAAATTCTTCCCAAGCTCAGTTTAGAAACCACTCTCCAGAACACTGTCCCAGGGATCTTGACTTCAGGGAGACTCATGAGCCTGTGCTAGCTTGGGGTTACCATCCTGGGAAAGGCTGAGTGTGTAATGGTTTAACAGGTGCCCAAGTCACAAGGCTCCAGTGCTGATTACCAGTTGGGGCTTAGGCCCAAGAGCCACATCTTGGCAAAACTGAAACTCAGTATCATCTGGGTCTTTGTGTGGAAAACACAGTTAGACAATGTTCTTGGATATAGCTGCCTTTCCCTGGGGACTTAGGTTCAGAAAAAGTCAGCATCACCAGAAAAAAAAAAACTGAGAAAAACAAAAAAGATGCTCCTGGAAGGTCCTCATTCACCAAGGATCAGCCCAGGGGATTCTCTCTCAATAAATTGGTGCAAATCCTTTTTGTGTTAGGTATCCTCAGCTAATGGAAATACACTTTGGTCCATGCAGTGGATAAAAAAAGAAAAAATGTATTTTTGCTTTAGAACCAAATTATCTGCAGTAACAGAGTTCCTGTACAGCTATCCTGCTCAGGTGGCCTATCCTGACTCATTTGAGTCACACTCACCTTGAAAGACTTGACATACCTCTTGGCCCAGAGGCCTGAGTAATCAACTGACAACTGACTTGCCCATGGGTGCTATGTGTTATTTCTGCACAAACCTAGCCTCTGGGATATCCTGGGCGATGGTGCCTGTTAGAAACACAATTTAGGTGGCTGAGGGAAGTCTGTGCAGCTGGAAAGAAACACTTCTTGTCAACCAGGCAGTCAGGTGGCCTGTGAAGAACCAGAATTACTGGGGTGTATCTGACTCCCAGTCTTATGTCTTTCCTTACCCAAACACTGATGCTTAAATGACACCTGAGAAAGTCTGTACTTTTTCCCAGATATATAGCTGAAGGTCATACATTATTTCAGGACCCACATTCCCATGCATTTTCAAGTGATGCACAGGCCTCCTGGGTTCTTTCAAAGACTCAAGTTGACTGAGATGTGAGAGGAGACAACTCTGATTGGCTTTTGGAGAGACAGAAGGTACTAAACAGGGCTATTTTTATTGTTTTACCTGCAGAGGAAAGTTAACCACACCCAACATCACAAGCAACTAAGTCAACCTGGAGAGTTTTGACTTACATTTGTAAATAATAGTGGTGTTGAGCACTTCTTCTGTGACTTTTGGCCTGTTGTTTATATTCTCCGGGGAAATGTCTATTGAAGTGTTTTGTTCATTTCTAAGTTAGTTTATATGTGATTTTGTGGTGACTGTTGACTTGTACATGACATTTTATATGTTCTAGATATTAACATTTTATTTGCCATATGATTTGCAAACTATTTTCTCCCATTTCATAGGACACATTTCAACTTGTGTTTTTGATGAAGAAAAATTTTTCATTTTGACCATATCCCAATTGTCTATTTTCTAACCTTTGTTCTTAGTGTCATATTTATAAAATTCATTGCCAAATCAATGTCATAATTCTTCTCCCTATCCTTTCTCGAAGCATTTTTTAGTTTTAGGTGTAACCTTTAGCATTTCATCTTTTTGACTGAATTTGTGTGTGTGGTGTCAGAAAATGACCCATGTCACTTGTCTGCATGCAGATATTGCTGTGCAACCTGTTTGTTGAAAATAGTGACTTTTCTCCATTGAACGGTCTTTATTGCCTAATAAATTATTTAACAAAAGCTAAATACTTGTCCACTTACTGTAAACTTCCTTGGCTCCAGGAATAAACATGGTGGTAAGCCTGCTTTGCACAACGTGTATAAAAGTTTAACTAACGACTGAAACCTGATGTTTTGTGAAAAAAAGAAAAAAGAAATTCTAGGAAAAGATCAATAAAAGCTCATGAGTGAAAAAATTCTATCCAATGATGAGGTTATTGCATGTATGGGCTGGGAAGGGTTTTTGTGAGTGGCTAACACAGATGACTGAAGGAATATATGAATGGAATCATACTGGGATTGTATGGGGCCAGAGCTAGCTTCAGATCTCTCCTTACATAATTTCACCTGAACTTAGACAATTTTCCTTCTGTAAATGTTGGGAACATACTCTTGTGGACATTACATAGCTCACTGTGGTCTGTGAGTTGCTGAGATCTGAGTAAGTCATGTGGCTCCATGTATCAAGAACATTCTTAAACAGCTGCATTCTCTGTTTCTCTACAGAGCCTGAATTGGTGGTCTCCCTGGAAGCCAGCAACACCACAGTCACAGAGAATAAGGACAGTGTGGTTTTGACTTGCCACACAAATGCACTCTTCATCCACTGGTTGTTCCAGGGCATGAATCTTGAGCTCAAAGAGCACATGAAGATATCTAAAGATCACCAAAGCCTCACCATAAACCCTGTGAAGAGGGAAGATGCTGGGATTTATTGGTGTGAAGTTTCCAACCCCGTGGGGTTTAATGAAAGTTGGCCTGTTTCACTGGTTGTGAAATTTGAGTGACCCTCCTTTCTTGCCATGTTAATAAGTTCTAAATAAAATGTTTTGCAGCATTATAATAGATATTTTGAAGATGACTAGTTCTTAAAATACTTGCAGTGCATCAATTAACACTCAGAAATGTGAGCACACATTGTCATTATTGTTGAATTAAGGTCATATTTCAGACAATTCTCATTTCGGGTCAGTATAATTTGTACCATGTCCACAATGGAGGTGACGTGTCCTTCAGAGGACAAGCACTGGACCTGTGGTAATCAGTGGGAGCAGGTGATAAGTTCATAGAATATGAGCTCTGTCCTTCTACATGTAAACATGTGGAGAGTACCTGGACACTGCTGTATGCATTGGGAATGGACAAGAGGACACTCACATGGGTAGCAACACTGATCTAATTCTTTCTCTTTCTTTCAGCAGATTTCTAAAGCCTTGAGAGTTCTTATTTATGTGTCAGAAAAATTATTTCCACAACTGCAATACATTTCTGTACCTTTTGTTAGTAATATCTAATTTGAAGCTTTGGTAATAAAACCAAAACTTTACCTCATATTTTCTAGTTCAGACCAATGCCCATGGAATTAGAAATGACCTCAAGCCTTATGAAACTAAGTTTGACCTCCTTGGTCTGTGGTATCTCTTGGAGAAGAGGACACCACTCAGAGCTAGAGAGAATTTCTCAGAGTGAAGCTTTCTAATCTCAGGTGACCGTGAAAACTTTCATCTTATGTTTTATTTAAAAAAAAAACTTCATCAGAGAAAAATATGTGGTGAAAGACAGTTGCTGTTCACTTAGGTAACTAATGAGGCCACATCAGGTGTCACCAGCCGAGTCCTCCCTAATCTCATCTGCTCATTTCTAGGTTTCACTCAAATGTCACAGGGACATGGAGGTTTTCCCTGATCATCTTACATAAGAAAGTAACCCCCACAGCTCATCCACTATCTCTACTGCATCCCAACTGATTCTTCTTTAGAGGGATTGTCACCATCACAAAAGCTGTGGGAACTCTCTCGGATTTAGTCATGCAACTGCTTTACCCACTACACTCTCATTTCTACTCTGTTTTCTTTCCATGTCCCTCTCTCAAGTGAGGCATAGTCCACTCAAACCATTCACAGTGTGGACTCGACTTCCCTGGAGTTTGTCATACCATGGCAAGTTGGTGGCACAGCCACTGAAGCTCTTAACTTTACAATTTGAGCCATTCAATTGCACTTTCTCCCACCCTTATCTCTTCTTAGTATCAATCCAGACTCAAGTGCCTGGGAAGCTACCTATTCTATTTCAGGGAGATCATCTTCCCAATTCCACTACATTTGTTGGCTTTTCCTTAACCACCTTAGCTGTCCTCTAAGGCCCAGAGCACAGATCCTGGGCAGGATGATGCAGAGACCACTGCACATGAACAAAAAATAGTCTGCTTTGGGTTTAAAGATATTTAAGTTTTATGTTCTTATTTATTCTTCTATCTACTGCATTGGATGCTATGTAAATAGACCACTGAAGAAGTTATTTCAGAATTACAAATATTTTCAATGTATAAGAATATTTCCATTTATTAGTATGGAGAAAGGCAAGTAATTCACTTATTATACACATTTAATTTTATTTGTAAACCACATGTGCACACATGGTTCATGAAGCTTCTTCTTCTTAAAGAAGCATTTGATATTTTTACCGTGTGAACAATAAGGTCTATTCCAGGGCAGCCACAATCATTCTCATCAGAAACATATAATAATTTCAATCATATGTGTACACATCAATATTAAGTATGTTGTTGATTCATTCTTTAGATATGTTATCAATCAATTTAGCAAAAATAACATTGTTTTATTTATAAAAAATAGTGGCTATTGAAGAACTAAAATTGGGTTTGTTTTTGTTATGTTTTACTTTGTGTAAGTCACTTAATTTGAGGAATTATTATAAACCAAGTCTAATTATTTCCAGAAGAGATGGGCATGGAGACATCAATACAGAGAGACACAACCAATGACCTGATTGTTTAATTTTAAATTTAATTAATATTCCTGAGAATACTGGGAAGGCCTTAGGGCTTTCCAATGTCTAAGAAAAAAAAACAAGAAGAAGTTAAAATATAGAGAAAGCATGTCATAAATAGTGAGTAAATTGTGAAACCACCAAGAAATCAATTCAGGAATGTGCTGCTAAGTTGGAGATGTGTTTGGATCACATATGAATAAGTGATGATTATAGTCCTAATATGTGTCTGAATGACTTGGCCTTGTTTTGTCTGTAGGAGTTGAGAATAGAGTCCTCTTACAATCCCACAGTCAACTAATCAAGTGGCATGGGTATGAGGCCATGGAAAGATAAGATGGAACTGTACAGCTGCATGATCAAAATGTTCATGAAAATCACACTAACATGGCTTAAAAATAAAGATTTTAAATTGCTATTTGAAATGCTCAGGGGAAAAGATTGGAGGCCAGTCAGGAACTGCATAAGAGACAATTTGTTGGAGACCAAGAAAGCTGGCATGAACTTGCAGAGCTTATATCACTGAATACAACTCTCTTAAAGCAACCTTTTGTTTGGAGAAGATTATGATGTCTTTTGGGCACAGCCACTTATACTATAAGCAGTGTAATGAGGTTAAATATACCATAGGTGGAATTGGAAACATTAAACTTTTAAAAAGTGGTTTACACTAACATTGAAAATAAAAAAACAATAATTTGAAAGCTTTGTTTGGACTTCACATATGGGCAAGGCATATCGCTTCTAATTCAAAAGCCAGTGCAAAAACAAAAAGAACAACAGAAAATATGCTGCAGAAAACTACACAACACTGAAGAAAGAAATCAAGGAAGACACAAACAAATAGAAACATATACTGTGTTCACGGATTGGAAGAATTAATATTATCAAAATGTCCATACTACCCAAAGCAATTTACAGATTCAATGCAATACCTATTAAAGTACCGATGGCATATTTCACAGACATAGAACAAACACTTCAGAAATTTATATGGAACCATAAATGAGCCCAAATAGCAGCTGCTATTTTGAGAAAGAAGGACAAAGTAGGAGGAATCACACTACCTGATATCAAATTGTATTACAAGGCCACTGTAATCAAAACAGCATGGTGCTGAAATAAAAACAGGCACATAGACCAATGGAACAGAACAGAGAGCCCCGAAATAAACCAAATTCTCTACAGTCAATATTTGACAAAGGGGCAGTAACATAAAATGGACTAAAAATAGCCTCTTCAACAAATGGTGTTGGGAGAACTGGACAGCTATGTGCAAAAAGTGAAACTTGAGCACCGACTTACACCATACACCAAATTAAATTCAAGGTGGATAATAGACTTAAATATAAGCTGTGAAATCATTAAAATCCTAGAGGAGAACATTGGAAAGAAAATCTCAATTATTTCATGCAACAACTTTTTTACTGATATGTGCCTTAGAGCAAGGGACATAAAGGAAAGAATAAACAAATGGAATCTCATCAAAATAAAAAGCTTCTGCATGGCTAAAGAAAATAGTATTAAAATAAAAAGGCAACAAACTGTATGGGAAAACATAATTGCCGATGATACCTCAGAAAAGGGTTTAATCTCCAAAATATACAGAGAACTTACACAACTCCACTCTAAGAAGACAAATAACCCAATTAAAAAATGGGAAAAGGACTTGAACAGACACTTCTCCCAGGAGGACATAGAGAGGATCCAGAGACACATGAAAAGATGCTCAATATCACTAGCTATCAGAGAGATGCAAATTAAAACCACAATGAGATACCACCTTACATCAGTCAGAATGGCTATCATAAACAAAGCAACAAACAACAAATGTTGGAGAGGGTGTGGGGAAAAGGGGTTCCTAGTTCACTGTTGGTGGGATTGCAGACTGGTACAACCATTATGGAAAACAGTATGAAATTTTGTGAGAAAACTAAAAATGGACTTGCCTTATGACCCAGCAATTCTATTGCTGGGACAATATCCTAAGAACACCAAAACACCAATCCCAAAGAACCTATGCACCCCAATGTTCATAGCAGCACAATTTACAATAGACAAGAGCTGGAAGCAATGTAGGTGCCTGTCAGTAAATGAATGGATCAAAAAATTATGGTACATATACATAATTCTATGCAGCAGAAGGAAAGAAGGATCTCCTACATTTTTCAACAGCTTGGATGGAACAGGAAAGCATTATGCTGAGTGAAATAAGCCAGGCATTGAAAGAAAAATACCATATGATCTTACCTTTAACAGGAAGCTAAACAACAAAGCAAATAAGCAAGCAAAATAAAAACAATGGCACTGAATTAGAGAATGGGGGATAGTGAGCAGAGGGGAGAGGGGAGGGAATTTCAGGATAAAAAAAAGAAAAGGTTTGCAGGAACTAGTATAAAGGACACATGGACAACAACTAAGGTGGGTGGAAATGGGAGGGAGATGGGGAGGGAGATGGGGAGTATGGGGGTGGGCTGGGATGGGAGTAAAAGACAGAATACTGTACTTGAACAATAATTAAAAAAAATAAATGGAAGAATAGGCACTTTTTCCGTCAGTGCTTTTTTTAGCCACTCTTATTAAAAAGCTTCCTTTTGGGCTTCTGGCCAAAAAAGACTTGAAGATACATTCACATTGTCTGTTCACACAAGTATAAGAAGGGTGGCAAGCAATCTTAAAGCAAAAAAATAACAAGAACTGCCAGAAAATCAGAGTCTCTGGTAGTCCAACAACCAAGGAGAATAGAGAACCATGGAAAACTAAGGCCAATATAGGTGTGGTATGATGGTGAAGCTTCCTAATATTTAGTAGCTGTTAAAACTCCCATCTTGTCTTAAAGCAAGTAGAAAGAAAGAAATAATTAAGATCAGAGCAGAATTAAATCACATAGAAACTAAAAGACCAATGCAAAATATCAATAAATCCAGGAGATGATTCTTTCAAAAGAAACAATTTCAACAAGCCTTTAATGAGGGTCTGTCATGGACCCCAGTTCATGGTGTCCATGGCGTTGTAGCTGAAACAAAAGAAATTCACACA